TTTAGAATTTTCTATTTTTTAATGTTAAATTATATAAAAGCTGCGATAATTACGATGCGCAAACTTGTTGAGGACTAAGAACCTAATGAAGTCACTTTGAGTGGATATTAATAAAACAGTGACCTTATTGCTCATCTATGATGCAACAACAGGAAATCAGATTTAAAGTGGGAAACTGAGGATATAAATGAGGTATCAAGCATCGCTTAGCTTCCCTAGGACACTCTTACCGTAAAACAAAATGTTGGTTTGGCAGATCAGCAAGGATTAGGAATATTTCAGATTTTACAGACAAAAATTTCAGATTTCTGAATGGAATATATAACGATATGCTGATTTTATATACTCTACCTATTAAGATGAAGATATAATTTTTCAACTGGCAATACTTTACAGTCCATCATACTTTATATTTAAGTAGGATTGCGCTCGAATCAAGGCGTGAAGACAAATAATTGGCAAATTCGCTGTGCCTCTCCCTATAACATCGGTTATACAACTTTTATTTGGGAGAAAGCCCGTGCACGACAAATCGGGGCCTTAATGTAAGGACGCTAATTTGTGTAATGTTTATGGAATTTTTCAAAGAATGAATAAAGTCATTTACTAGTTGCACAAGGGTAAGTCCGGTCATGCATTCAAGAGAAAATCCTTCTTATTCCTATTGAGCCATGACTTCAGGCATCGAGCGAACAAGAACGTCTTCGGTATAGCTTTCTTTTATGAATACAAGAGGGTAGATATTAGATAAACACTAAATAAAAGGCGAGGTTAAGATGCGCTTTTTCTTGAGCGACTTATCTCCAATTACCTTGAATGGATGCAAAATCGGAAGGAAATTTTAGTTTTCAATTCTTCCTCAATCAAGGGACTTAAGCTTACAATGAGATTTACTCACATAAGAATCAAATCGATATGGTTAAAATACGTAGAATTCAGCATATGGTGAGATTGAACTATATTTCGTATGAGTAATATTTTTGCGTCCCCATTGTATCAATCATAAAATTGCAAAGGCATGCTTAAAGCCCGGTTACCTGGCATACGAACAGATCAATTGATCAACAATGGCAACGCCACCAGGACCAAATTGTGCAAGCTGCTCTGGTGTGGGCAGAAAATGAGTCACGTGAATGGGCTGAAGAAGACGTTCCAGTTGTAGAAGCTCTAGACATAGAAAATAAGGACATATATATATTTACCATTTAGTCATGGGGGCAGGAAAATAAATTAAGTTAAGATATTTTTCTATATTCACATTCAGTAGGCATTTAAACTATCAGTAGAAAATAAGAAAGATATTCAACCTAAACCTCTTTAGTGTTCAAAACAGGTGGACTGTTTCTAAAATATAAAACGTTTGCACTCTACAACTCCAAATTTGGAGGCCTCGAAGCGAAGAGAGAAAATGAAAAATAGTATTGACAAGTGTCTTATTTAGAAACGATTGAATACAGTATAGGGGCCTGACAATAGAAAGACAATCATTAAAAGGTAGTGCGAAATAGAACAGTTTGAGCCTGGCGCGTCATAGCGAAGGGGAGAAAGAGAAGAATATGATGTTAGTTTTAAGTTGTTTGACCTTGTTTTCGCGACTCGATCATATTGGTAGGAAGACTAAGAGGAT